GCCAGTTGTTGAGTCTGGGTAAAATCAGGTGGTTATTGCGCTTGCTGTCCCCTGACAGTGGAAGTCCTGAGCTGGACTGCAGGTGCAGGCAGCCTCTGCACAAAGCTGTTCCTCTCTTCTTACCCCCTTGCTCTTTTCCTCAATCCCTACCAGTTAGTCAGAGCCATGTTCTGCAATTGCTAAATGGCTAAGAAAGCTTTTTCTTGCTCCCTAAAATTTAAACTATACTTTGGGAATACAAACATAGAAAAGTAGCATATCTTTCAGACACTTGTCACTCAGTTTCAACAGTTATCAACAGTTGAAAAACTTAACCAGGGCCAGGGATGTGGCTCCGCAGGTAAAGGTTCATGCTGCCTAGCCTAACATCTGGGTGCCGATCTCTGGGACCCACATGGTGGAAAGATAGCAACTCCTACAATGTCCTCTGACCTCCACATTGTGCACCATGACACACATGCCACCACATACATGCACACACAAAATAAATATAAAAACTTAAGAAGCTAGAGGCAGCCAAATCTCTATTATGAGTTCGAGGCCAGCCTGATGTACAAAACAAGTTCCAGGATAGCCAGGGCTACACAGAGAATCCCTGTCTCAAAACAAAACAAAACAAAAAAAGAACCTAACCCTTCCCTTAGTTGGATTACTTTATTTTATTACTGCTATGTATGTATATGGGCACATACATGGCAGGTGTCTACAGGTCAGAGGACAACTTTTGGGAGTCGGTTTTCTCTTTCCACCCTGGGTTCTAGGGATAAAATTCAGGTGGGCATGCTTGTGTGGCAAGAGCTTTTGTCCAGTGAGCCATCTCACCAACTCCTGGTTGGATCAAAGGAAACCCTACTTTCAAACCATTTTATAAATACTCCATATATCTAAAAGAAAGGGGCTCTTTAATTCTTTAATGTATCCACAATAAACTTTCTCATACTCTTGATAAGTATTTAAAAATCTCTGGTTACCCCATAACTGTCTTTCACAGTTGGCTTAGGAAGATGAAGACACTTTCCTCGTCGCTTTCCCAGGCCTGCCTTGTTTTTCTGTATCAGCATAATTTTTTTTTAGGGTGGAGGTGGGGTGGAGTGGGTAAACACTTGCCTGTATGTTTTCCCACATTCTAGACATGGATAACTATATTCCATGTTGATGTTTAATGTACTAGTCTGTTCTCTACATTTCCTAAAGTTGGTTAAGATTTGTATATTTACTGTTCAGTTTTGCTAGGTTGTTTGTTTTTTAATTTATTTTTCCTGTATGGGTGTTTTGCTACATATATGTCTGTGTAACATGTGTGCCTGGTGTAGGCAGAGGCCAGAAGAAGGCATCAGATCCCCTAGATTGAAGTTACAGACAGTTGTGAGCTACCATATGGGTACTGGAAATTGAACCTAGGTCATTGTTTCATTGTTATCAAAAGACGCATACACAGTATCATCCCTTCTGGAAATTTTCCAATGCTAAAAATGGTAGATACTAGATTGACATTTAATAAAGAAGGATATTGCTGAGTATGGTTATGTACACCTATAATAACATTCCATTGCTCTTAACAGCTGAGCCATCTCTCCAGCCCCCATTGTAGCTAGTCTTATTTAAGGTGTCTTCAAAGTAAAGTACACATAGGATTTTGAAATTTGTTATCAAAACAACATATAAAATATCTCTGTAATATAGTCCCATATTTACTATATCCAAAAGTAATACTTTGAATACCATAGGTTAAATAAAATATAATTATCATTTGTTCTACCAGTCATGGTGTACCTTTAGTGTTTCTGTATGCTAGTCAGTTTGGTTTTCTCAACTCTGCGTGGCAAGTTTGGCAAGTACTCTCACCCTCACCTTATAGATTAGGGTGCAGGTGCAGGTGGGCTGAATGAACCAGTCAAGTGCCATGGCCTTTGACCAAAATTGTGTGATTCTAATATCTTAACTATAGTCCAGCCAGGAACAGAGAATATTTCCTTGCTGCAGTCCCTCTTTAAAATGAGATGGTAGGGGATATTGAGATGGCACACACTTGCCATAAAAGCCTGACAACATGTGCTTAATTCTTGGAACCCATGTAAAGGTGAAAGAAAAGGACTGAGGCCACGAAGTTGTTCTCTGACCTTCACATGTGCACCATCTTGTGTACAAGCATGTATGTGTATGCACAACACTACAGTAATAGTATCAAAAGAAAAATAAAGGAGATGGTAGTGTGAAGTAATTTCTCAGAACTTAGGTTTTTACTGCTGTGATAGAAACACCATTACCAAAAGCAACTTGGGAAGGTGGATTTATTTAGCCTACAGGTGACAGTCCATCATCAGGGGAAATTAAGACAGGAGCTCCTCAGGCAGGAACCTGGCGGCAAGAACTGTAGTAGAGACCATGGAGGTACACTGGGTACTGGCTTGCCTCCCCATGGCTTTCTCAAACTACTTTTTTACACAACCCAGGACCACCAGCCAGGGGTGGCACTACCCACAGTGCTCTGGGCCCTCTCATATCACTCATTAATCAAGAAAATGCCCTACTGATTTGTTGATAAGCCAGTCTACTGGAGGCATTTTCTCAGTTGATGTTCCTCTTCCCAGATAGCTCTAGCAGCTGAAATCTAGCTTGTGTCAAGTTGACAAAAAACAGGACAGAACCATTCTGTGTCTATTGCTCCAATTTCTCCTTCCCCAATCAGTTCATACTTAAATCTGCACTTGAATTTATTCCTGTAGGTATACATGTATGAGGGGGAGAAGAAAGTAGATTAGGCTTGTTCTCTACTTGAGCTTGCTAGTAGTTGTGAAGAGGGAAAGAACGGGTAAGCCAGGCTTACCACTGCATGAGCTTAGACTCAGGACTCAAGTCTGGGTTCCTGGGTCCATCAGTCTCACTATGGACTCGGGGCTAATCTAGGATCACAGCCTCTAAGTTTAGGATCCTTAGCAAGACAGCACAGAATGGTGTTTTTCCAATCTTGCTTGGTTTTACTTGTTGAACAGGAAACAACAGGGCATTTGACCTTCTCTTAGGAAAAATTCCCAAGTGTAGTTTGCCTGTTTGCTTTTATAGGACCTTGAGATTTGTTTTAATGTTTTACTTATGTGTATGTGTGATGTGTGCTACATATGTTTGGGTGTCTGAAGAGGCCGGGAGAGGGTGTTAGATGCCCTAGAGCCTTGATTGAGTTAACAGGTGGTTGTGAGCTGCCCAGTGTGGGTATTAGAACCAAACCCTGTCCTCTGGAAGAGCAGCCAGCACTCCAGTTTTTCAGGACAGGGTTTCTCTGTGTAAGAGCCCTAGCTGTTCTGGAACTGGTACACCTGGCCTCGAACTCACAGAGATCTGCCTGCCTCTGCCTGCAGAGTTCTGGGATTAAAGGTGTGCGCTACCACTGCCTATAACTCAGTCAGCACTCTTAACTCCTGTGCTTTATTTAAGAAAACTAAGCTTCCTGCCTGGAGATATGTCTCAGAAGTTAAGAGCACTGGCTACTCTTCCAGAGGATTAGTGTTCAATTCCCAGCACTCACATGGAGGCTCATAACCATTTATAACTCCTGTCCCAGAGGATCTGGTGCCTTCTTCTTGCCTGTGTGGGCACTAGACACACACTGACATACATGTAGGCAAAACACTTGTATATATGTAAAGCAAAAACAAACTTTAAAAGAGAAAGAAGCTTCTAATAGATGTAGCGGCTGACTTTCCTCACTTTTTTTGTCATGTTAATGTGTCGTTCATTCTCCCACTTTACAGCTGAAAGAATGTATTCGAGCCCTGGACCAGGAACAAACCCATACACCTTTCAGGCAGAGTAAATTGACTCAGGTAAAGTTAAACAAAAGCCTTGAGATTGTTCTGGTTCATTCGTTGTTCCTTCCTCCATTACTTTGTTAATTTAGTCAAGCATCCACTACTAGTAAGACATGATGCTAAACATAGCTAAACATATTGGGAGAAGGAATTTAGGTGTCATTTTCCTTCCAGGAGCTCTCAGTGTACTCAACAGGGATATCTGCAGTGCCGGGGCAGCTACAGTCCTAAGAGGGCATCCATGCTCTTCTTGTTACCACCTGTTGTAGTGTCATTCTGTTCTGTGATCAAATACTCTGTCCAGTTCATACTTCATCACTGAGGAGAGTCACTGCAGGAACATGAAGCAGAAACCATGGAGCACTGTCACTTACTGGCTCACTCTCGCTCCCAGGCCCATGCTTCCTCATACAGCCCAGGACTACCTGCCCCGATGGTGCAGCTCATGTACTTGCCCCGATGGTGTAGCTCATGTACCTGGCTGGGGCCTCTTACCTCATTTAACAAGATAGTCACCCACTATTACCCAGATAGTCAGGCAGATCTGATCTGAGAAATCCCTTAATTAAGACTCCCCTCTACCAGGCAGTGGTGGCACAGGCTTTTAATCCCAGCACTCGGGAGACAGAGGCAGGTAGATCTCTGTGAGTTCAAGAACAGCCTGGTCTACAGAGTGAGTTCCAGGAAAGCCAAGGTTACACAGAGAAACTCCAAAAAAACAAACAAACAAAACCAAAAAGACTCCCTTCTCAGATGACTGTGTCAGTTTGACAAAACTAACCAGTATACCACCTTTCCATGTTCTCCCAGTGTAAAGAACCTATCTTACTGCAGGGGTGGTGGCATCTTCCTGAAGTCCAGCTACTCAGGATGCTGAGGCAGGAGGATCACTTGAACCCAGGAGTTCAAGACCAGCCTGGATACATAGAAGACTGTGTCTCAAAGCATAAAATACTGGGTGTGGTGGTGTGTATCTATGTTCCCAGCAACAGGCTGAGGCAGAAAACTTGCTTGAGCCCGTACACTGGAGATCTCTAGGCAATATAATGAGATCCTAACTGTCTACCCCTGACCAGCAACACAGTGGGGACTAGGCCGGGGTGTAGCTCAGTGTGTGCTTGCCTGATATGCACCAGATCCTAGGTTTAATCCTCAATAAGGGTGAAAATACATATATACATACATACATGCATACACACTATATATGTACACACATGCATATACTACATACATACATACATACATACATACATACATACATACATACGATTTAGTAGTTACTGAGTCTTGAACTTGGGATCCTCCTGCCTCAGTCTTCTGAGCATCTGGGAATACAGGCCATGTTTATTCTAAGTAATACAAATATAGGAACCTTTCTCTTTATATTGTGGTGAAAATTACTGGAAAGCACCAGTAGATACAAGTCAGGTATATATGAGCTGCAGAGGAGCAGCCAAAGGAGAGATTTGCCTAGGAAGAAACAGATGTAAAAGTTGTTATATTGTCTTGAGCTCCTTCCAATATTAGATCCTGTACACAGGGAAAAATAGATCTGGTCTTGGGAGGCCAGGAGGAAGTCCTTGGATGAGAGCCTACAGTAGCTCCACCTTAGTCATAATTAGTTCTCTCTGCACTGAATGTAACTTCTCTCATTTCAACTATGTGTGTATGTGAGAATGTAGTGGAATGAGTTCAGATGCCTGCAGAATCTAGAAGAAGGTGCCTGATCCCCTGGAACTGTAGTTTCGGATGGTTATGAACCACCTAATATAGGTCCTGGGAACTGAACCTGGATCCCTTGGAAGAGTCTGAAGCACTCTGAACCATTGAGCCATCTTTCCAACCAAGTAAAGTTTCTGCTCATACATTTAACCACTCTTGACTCTGACCTTCAACTTTCTGTTTTTAAGTTTTCATCCCCAGAAAATATGCTTCTACTTTTAAAAAGGAATAATCTCAACAACACATATAATATAGAGGCAAGCATGGTGTCACATACCTTTAATCCCAGCACTCAGGAGGCAGAGGCAGACAGATTTCTGTGAATTTGAGACCAGCCACATAGCGAGTTTCAGGCAAGCCAGGGCTACACAGTGAGACCTTATTTATCTCCACTTAGGGGAAAAACTAGTAGAGGATAAAAGGTACCCTAAAGTCTAATCGAGTTGACAACTAAAGTTAACTATTGTAGTAGTGAAGTAGGGAAGTTCCCACTTGTGGATCTTAACCTGGTCAAATTTTCATCAGACTTTCTTAAACTTATGTACAAAAATGTTGGACTTTCTCTTAAAACTATTTTTCCTTTATATTTATTTGTGTGCAGGGTTGTAGATGAGCATGAGTTAGTTGTACATATCTTCTCCCCTGTACACTCAGAGGCCAGAAGACCTCAGGTGTCCTGCTCCGTCACTTTCTTTCCACCTTTTCCTGTGAGGTAGAATCTCTCTTTGAACCTGGAACTAGGCTGGTAGTGGGCAAGCTCCATCAACCTCCATCCCTACTCCTCAACAACACTGGATTATAGGTGCTTACAGCTATGCCTGGCTTTTTACATGAGGGAATTTTTTTTTTAAGACTTTATTATGTATACAACATTCTGTTTCCTTGTATATCTGCACACCAGAAGAGGGCACCAGATCTCATAACGGATGGTTGTGAGCCACCATGTGGTTGCTGGGAATTGAACTCAGGTCCTCTGAAAGAGCAGTCAGTGCTCTTAACCTCTAAGCCATCTCTCCACATGAGGGAATTTGAACTCTTGTCCTCATACTTGCTCTGACCCACTGAACCATCTCCTCAGCACCATTAATATTAGTTTTTCTAGTTGCTTATTTGTTTCTCTGACTGCTGGTATAAATACCTTTTGCTTTGTTTATTGGTTAGTTGTATTTCTTATTCCTTGTTTTAGATTTATTTTTATTCATGTGTATGTCTTGCCTCCATGTATGGCTATGTACCACATGTGTGTCTACAAAGACCAGAAGAGGGCCTCAAAATCCCTGGAACTGAAGTTATAGATGATTGTGAGCCACCACGTGGTTGCTGGGAATCAAACCCAGATCCTCTGCAAGAGCAACAAGCACTCTTAACCACTGAGCCATCTCTCCAGTCTAGTAATGTATTTCTTCTTTAGTGAATAGAGCAAGCTGTGGCCAGCATCTTCACACACAAGTAATCAATATTCCCTTTGTTTATTGGCATGTCTCTTGATTTGACAGGTCCTGAAGGACTCTTTCATTGGCAATGCCAAAACTTGCATGATCGCCAACATCTCACCAAGCCACATAGCCACAGAGCACACACTGAATACTTTGCGCTATGCTGACCGGTAAGTTGGCTATAGGATGTCAGGTTGTGTCAGACGTGATGGCACATGCCTTTAATCCTAGCACTTGGGAGGCAGAGGCAGGTAGATAGATCTCTGTGAGTTCAAGGCTAGCCTGGTGTACCAAGTGAGTTTCAGGACAGCCAGGGGTACACAGTGAAACTGTCTCAAAAACCAAAAAAGAAAAAAAAAAAAAAAAGTCAGATTGTGTGTGTGGGTTACATGTGTTTGTGCACTTGCCTCTCAGATATGTAGTGATCTGGCATTCAACTCCACAGCCCTCTTCTTGGAGATACTGTCCAGCATTTTGAAAATATGACCAGTGAGCCCTACATTTGTGTGTGTGTGGCAAGGGAAAGATGGCACATGTCCCTGTTCAAGAATCAATTGGCATTGATTGATCAATCCGGGCAGTGGTGGCATATGTCTTTAATCCCAGCACTCGGGAGGCAGAGGCAGGTGGATCTCTGTGATTTCGAGACCAGCCTGGTCTACAAAGCCACACAGAGAAACCCTGTCTTGCAAAAAAAAAAAAAAGATACTGATGGGGGCTGGAGATATGGCTCAGGGGTTAAGAACACTGACTGTTCTTCCAGAGATTCTGAGTTCAATTCCCAGCAACCACATGGTAGCTCACAATCATCTGTAATGTGATCTGGTGCCCTCTTCTGGCATGCACTGTATACATGATAAATAAATGAATAAATGAGTAAATCTTTAAAAAAAAAAAAAGATACTGATGTGATCAGTATCTTCTCAATGTCTACTAGGAAATGGAATACTAACCTAGTGTGGTAGGCTCAGTAAGCTTTTCTTCTGGCTGACCACAGCGCTGTTTGTAGGAGCATGTAGGTCCAGAAAGGACCAATCTGGACATGTCAATAAAGATAAAGGCCCAAAGCAGGGGACGACTTCCCAAGAACTTGTTAAAAGTTAGTGGCAGAAGTAGCACCTCTGTAAGAAAAATTGCAGGAGGTGTGGGGATGTGTGGAAGTCAGAGGTAGACTTCTGATAGTCAGTGCCCTCAGATGTCAGGCTTGGGCAGCAAGTGCCTTTACCACTGGACCATCTTGCTGGTCTTAAGACTAGCACCCATATTAACTGTTTGGCCAGGTTTCTCTCTGAAGGGACTTTGGTATCTGCCAACATCCCTCCCCTCTCTACTTACAATTAGTCTCTTACAGAAGTAAGTACATATTATAAAAATGTTTTACATTATGTATATAAGTGTTTTGTTTGTCTGTATATATGTATGTGCACCCATATATGCCTGGTGCCAGAAGTCAAGAAGGCATCAGATCACCTGAAACTGTAGTTAGAGAGGGTTGTGAGCCACCATGTGGGTTCTGGGGACCAAACCTAATAGATCCTTTACAAAAACAGCAAAGCTACACAGAGAATCCCTGTCTCGAAAAACCAAAAAAGAAAAAAAAAAAAAAAAAAAACAATGTGGTGCTAAGTTAGGGGGATGCTGGGAACACATCATCTTTCCCTTAGTAGGACTAACACAGTCTGCTCCTTTTTGGAGGTTTTGCTTTCTTGACTGCCCAGCAGATTTAGGGAAATTCATCTTCCCAGAGAAGCCTGGCAGGGTTTTTGCAGGACAACAGGAGTCTGTGAGACTATAGGTGAAGAGTAGGCATGAATTCCTGAGTTGGCCTATATTCAGGACCCATGGCAGGCACTGCATGAATATAGCAAGATTCTGATTGCTAGCCTGTCCCCCACATGGGGCTGTGGTGATTTGCAAACTTCCAGTCACATCCACATCATGTTTTTTTTTTTTTTTTTTTTTTTTTTTTCGAGAGAGGGTTTCTCTTGTGCTTTGAATGGAGGCTGACCTGGAACTAGCTCTTGTAGATTTGGCTGGTCTTGAACTCACAGAGATCCACCTGCTTCTGCCTCCCAAGTGCTGGGATTAAAGGTGTGCACCACCAACACCAGGCCAGGCCTTTTCTTTTGGGCCACCAACCACCTCCCAAATCATGACACGGAGACTAATTATTAGTTATGAATGCTCAGCCTTAGCTTAGGCCCATTTCTTGCTGCCTCTTATAACTTAACTGTTTCTCTTCTTCTATGTTTTACCTCAGGGCTTTTTATCTTCCTTCCTTCCTTCCTTCCTTGTTTCCTTCCTTGTTTCCTTGTTTCCTTCCTTCCTTCCTTCCTTCCTTCCTTTCCTTCCTTCCTTCCTTCCTTCCTTCCTTCCTTTCTTTCTGCATATCTTATTTTCCCGCTGTCTCCATGGCTGGGTGGCTGGCTGGCTGCCAGGCTTCTGGCCCTGGGCATGTACCTTTCTTTGTCCCTCATTCTCTTCTTCTCTTGTGAACCTAGATATCTCCTCCTACTTATTCTCTCTGCCTGCCAGCCCAGCTTATCCCTCTCCTGCCTATTGGCCATTCAGCTTTTTATTAAACCAATGAGGTATCTTAAACAGGTAAGGTGAAACAATTGAAGCACATCTTTACATAACTAAACAAATGGAGCATAAGCAAATGTCACACACCTTCACATACTTAAATATCCCACAGCATAAACAAATGTAACTAATCTTTGCCTAGTTAAAATAATATTCTGTAACACCCCTCCCCAGAGTAAGAAAGAACTTATAGTCCTTGCCATACTTCCCTTGTTTGTTGTTTTAATTCCCTGAAAACTGTAGGAAAGGAATCACAGATACAGAAGAATATATAGTTAATGTTAAATGGTTATTTCCAGGGTGAAGGAACTAAAGAAAGGTGTTAAGTGTTGTGCTTCAGCCACCAGTCGAAATCTGACATCTGCAAATTCTTCTCCAAAACGAATTCAAAACTCCCCTGTTGCCCTGTCAGGGGACAAATGCTCCCCAAAAAAAGTTAAACTAGGACTTCAGCAGTCACTTACTGTGGCCCCAGGCCCCACAAGAGTTAAAGACCACCCTTTTGCCAGCCATGCTGCCAATATCCCCTTTGCCTCTGGACCTAAAACCCCCAATAAAAGGGGTAGCTCTCGAGGGAGTCCTGCCCCAGAGTGGGATACAAAGGCTAGCCCTTTGAAAGGAACCATGAGGTCTGGCCATTTGATCAAAAAGGGAGCAGAAGAATCAGCACCATTGTGCTCTGAGAAAAGTCAAATTGTCAGCAAGACTGCCATTGGATGGGAGAGCAGGGCCTCAGGCTCAAGGGAAGGCCTACTTCGTATCAGGATGCCTGCCAGAGGGAAGAAGGTGCAGCCAGTACAGCCAGTGCAGAAGCAGCTACTGTCACGATCTCAGCTCCCTGGCAACAGCCACCATTTAGAAGCCAGTCAGGACAGCAAGGTGGGCACACCTGACATGCTTGCCCCTGAAGCTTGGACAAACTCTCTCCCCCAGCAGAAGGAAAGGGAGGAACATTTGCGGTTTTATCACCAGCAGTTCCAGCAGCCACCACTCCTCAAGCAGAAGCTAAAATACCAACCACTGGAAAGGCTTTTATGTCAGCACAGGCCCTCAGAAGGTCAGCTCCCAAATGAGACCATTTCTGCCCTCCACTCTAATCCTGAGAGCTATGATGGAGCCCAGGTTGAGGACCAGGACGACAGTGATTTCAGTGAGGATTCTTTCTCAAACATGCAGAAGACCACCTTGGAGAAGAGCGGAAGCTCATTCTTCCTACATCAGAAGAGGGAACACAGCCCTGAGGAGCAGGCAGCAGAAAGGCAGCAGTGTCTGCATTTCAGCTCTGAGACAGACAGTAATGACAGGATGCCAGCTGACATCTGGGTATGTTCCAAGGACCCCATCATAAACCATGCGAGAGGAGTACTCGGTCAGAGCCACAGCCCAAGTAAGCTGTGCTCCGTCTGGAGCAAGGAAGAAGACTCTGCCTCCTCAGGGCCTTCTCATAAGGACAACCTGGCCCAGAAGCCTTCCTCCTCACAGGTAGGTTTTGTGCATCACCAAGAAATGGGTGAAGCTCAAGCCTTTGACATCAGGCTGGAGGCCTTCAGAAGTGAGGTTCCTGGGCAGGCTGAGGGCAGCTTGCCATCCCCAGAAAATGGGCTGTCTTTCCCACTATCCCACATTGCAGTTCCTGGATCCCCAGACCTAAGAGACAGAGAAGTCAGTGACGATAGAGTGACACAGGCACTGGGAACAGTGAACAGCAGTGTTCCTTTCCAAGAAGACTCTAAAGAGCAGTTACATGCGTGCTCTGCAAATGCGTCTGGACTCATGGATCCTCTCACTATGTCCCTCCTGGAGACCCCCAATCAGGACCCTTCTTCCTTGGAGCAGACTGCTCAGGATAGAGCTGGGCATGGTCTCATGGCTGAGATCACAGGAGGGCCTGCAGTGGGACACACAGTATTATCTTACAATCAAGAGGCTGCCTTGCCAGGATCTTCAGCAGCTGCTCACCTATGGCTGTCCTCATCTCCCCCTGACAATCGGCCTAGTGGTGATCTTCCATCTCTGTCCCCGTCACCCATCCATCAGCATTCACCTGATAATCTGTCCAATAGGGGGGCCTGCCAGAGCAGAAGGCCTGCACTCTTGTCCCAGAATCATGTGGGTGATGACCCATCTGATGACAGTGAGACTAAAGAGACTAAACTGGGGCACTCCTTGCCATTCCCAAGAAAGCCCCTCTCCAGGATACACGCTGGAGTACCTTATTCTACACCTTTGCTCACCTCATGGAAAGGAAGTAGTGATGAGGCTGGCAGTCCCTGGGCCCAGGACAGAGAACATCCTGCAGGGCTTAGCTGGCAGGAGCTTGTTTCCTCCACAGACTCCATCAAGCCCTCGGACAAGAACATCTTGTGGCTCCAGCACAAGCCAATCTCAAGATGCTTAGCATCAGACACTCCTGTGGTCCCCAGCTGTTCCCTCAAGGCCTCAGGGACACACTGTCCACTCACACTGGAGCAGGCGCAGTAAGTTGGACTTTGTTCTTAAGACTTAAGCCCCTCTAGCACCCCATGCCCTTTTCCAGTTTGCTTGCCTCTTCAGTGGACAAACTTGCTGTTCCTGTTGTTTAGAACCCAATGAAAGGTAGACAGTTCAGCTTTTAGCCCTGATCTGCTTTGGTCCTGATAGAAATAAGAGCAGACCTTGTACCAAATACCCCAGCTGCCACAGCTTTATAGAATTTCTCAAGGAAGCCATGGGAAACAGGCAGCCGCCTGAGCAGCAGCTAGGAAAGCAGGACAGCCAGAGAAGTCTGTCTCTCCTGATCTTGTGGGTACTCCCTAGCCCTTGACTAGTCCTATGAACAGAACAGAGAAGAAAGCAAAGAGCAGCCAGCCAGCCTTACCACCTTGGGCAGAGGTAGGGCCTGGTATGAAAATGATGCTCAGTTTCCAAAGGCTGTCCATGAGTGGGAAACCAAAAGGGTCAGTTTCTTCCCTATGTTCCTAGGCAGGCAGTCATCCGTGCACACCAGGAACAGCTAGATGAAATGGCCGAACTGGACTTCAGGGAGGATACCTTAATGACCCAGATGGATTCCAATGTAAGTAGAATAGCCACATGGGCTATTGACAGCTAGTTTGTGGTTTGGTGGTCATGTTTGCTGTAGTATTTATGACATCAAGTTCTGCTGTTGTGCACTAACAGTTGGGGCCTTGTGACCCTCAGAGGGTCTGGGAGAGGTGGGAGATGGTGTTATACTGCTCACTACTGTGTCCAGCCTCTGTCCTTAGCCATTCTGCCTTTCTGAAGGTTTGTTGGAGCCTCCCTGTGATTATTTTAACAGTGGCCATCTTGCTGCTTACAACCTGTAGACCCCAAGCATTATTTATAAGTACCCCTTTGCAGAATATAGCCTCCACTTATGATGGGGTTCCCAACAAAAGCCATAGAAACTTGGAAGGTTTTCCCCTAAGAAGATGGTCTAGAGAGAAGGCTCAGCAGCTAAAAACACTCATTGCTTTTGTAGAGAACCCGGGTTTGGTTCCTATTACCCACGGGGTGACTGGTAGAGAGACAAAACATTCAAACAAAAAAAAAAACCTTATACAAAAAAGTCTAGAAAAGGGCCGGGCATTGGTGGCCCACGCCTTTAATCCCAGCACTCGGGAGGCAGAGGTAGGGGGATCTCTGTGAATTCAAGGCCAGCCTGGTCTACAGAGCGAGTTCCAGGACAGCCTCCAAAGCCAGAGAAACCCTGTCTTGAAAAACCAAAAAATAAGTCTAGAAAAGATGGTCATTAAGAGAAACACTTCCACTTGTCTGTTTGTTGTCAGGATTTTGAGGATTTCGTGACCCAGCTGGACAAAGTCCTGGCTCTGAAGTCCAGTTGCATACAGAGTGTGAGAAGACAGCTACAGCTGTACCTCACCTGCAGGCCGGCTGCAGCCCCCAAGAGAACCAACCATGCTGTCTTAGAGGAAGACTTACCCTGGGTGGACGGCCAGGCCCTTCCTGCGGACAACCACTCCCAGCCCTGCCTCTAGTCACACATGGCCTTGGATGGCCACACTACTCAGGAACAGAACTCACCTTACCTCATTTCTAACCATAGAAACCACTTATAAGAAAGGACCAGACTGAAGACCTTCCTGTCCCCTTCTATTTGGGGTTCAGAGTATTTGCTTTGTTGACCTGTGTCTGTAGGAACATATTTGGTCTAATAACAGTAGATGTTCCTAAGTTTCAGGATGAAATAGGGGTGTTCAGTGGTAACCTGGGGGTCAGAGGTTAGGGACCACACACTCAGCCAATAGCCAAATTGCCTTTCTGTCTTCAAAGACTACAGCATTGGTGCCAGCCAGGCAGTTGGGTGAGTGCCTTCCCACCAGAGAGTAGAGATTTAGTTTTGGAAAATATAAACTGAACCACTCTTGATGCCTTAAGAGCAACTGGGTTGGGGGTTAGGCTTTATGCTTGCAGTTCCCTTCCCTGAAACCCGGCTTTGAGAGGGGGGGGGGGGGGCTGTTGGCAGCACATTTTTCTCATTTACTTTTTGATAAGACAGCAGACCTATGGACGGTACCTACTAGGCCTCAGTTTTTGTGGCAAAACCTGGCTCCTGTCTATGACTCCTCACTCCCTGTCCCTCTGAATAATTAAATAGGATGGAGGATCTCAGACAAGTCCATTGCCTAGACTGAATTTCCAGGACACCTGGGCCAGCCACACTCAAAAGCCAGCCTTTGTTTTGGGTGTCTTGGCACTGAGTGTGGAGTCAATAGTCTGAACCTTCTGATATAGGAAAAACACACTGTACTCTTCAAATGAATTCTTGCTCTATTACTGTGTGTAGGGCAGGTGTTACCAGGCACCCACAATCATTCTCTGCTGTTTCACTGCTGATTTGGCTAGCCAATAAGTCCCATGGGTCAGACTGTCTTAGCACTCTGTGTAGACCAGCTCAGAGATCCACCTGCTTCTACCCCCAAATGCTGGGATTAAAGATGTGTACCACAACATCCAGCTGGTCCAGGCTTTCTGCATAGGTCCTAGTGATGAAACCTCAGCACTCATGCTTGCACCACCAGCACTTTACTGATTGAATCATCTTCCCATCTCTTGAAACAGGGTTTCTCTGGCTTTGAAGGCTGTCCTGGAACTAGCTCTTGTAGACCAGGCTGGCCTTAAACTCACAGAGATCCACCTGCCTCTGCCTCCTGAGTGCTGGGATTAAAGGCGTGTGCCACCACCACCTGGTTCTGTATCACCTTTTAATAACAAGAAAGCACCTCAAGAGCCTCCAAGGGTCCATTAGTTTTAAAGGGCTCCCTGAGTTAACCTAAGATTCATGTGTCGCAGCATGGACCCAGAAGCCATTACCATATGAATTTAAGTTATGCCTGAAACTCCAAGATAAATGAGGTATGGCATCGCTCACTTGTAATCCCAGCATTTGGGAAGCTGAGGCAGAATGAGGACCTTGAAACCAACATGGGCTATATTTAAAAGGCTTACAGTGGGCCACAGACAGTGCTTGAAATAGCCACCAGAGGGCAGCCTGTTCCTAGCTTAGGGTTGTACAGCACCTCCTTACATGGCCACTAAAAACCAGAGATTCCCAGCCAAGAACCCCATGGGATTCTACTAAAGTAAGAACTAGAAGTTTTAGGTATTAATTTTGTCAGCTGCACCAATGCTACTGAAAGCCTTGCCTGTGACTATATTCATGATGGCATACCGGTCCCCAGGAGCTGAGGACCAAACCCAAGGCCTAGCAAGTGCTTTACCACTGAGCCAACCCCAGATTTTTTCTTTTTTCTGTTTTTGGTTTTTCAAGACAGGGTTTCTCTATCGGCTCTGGCTGTCCTGGAACTCACTCTGTAGACCAGGCTGGCCTCGAAATCAGAGATCCACCTGCCTCAGGAATTAAAGACATGCACCATCACCACCTGACCAACTTTTCATTTTTAAAGAACATCTTGAAGTCTAGTCTGCCCCTCTCTACTCTGGCAAGAAGGCATATGCCTTGGTCCAGATACTGGACTAGATCAGGTTTAAAGGTTTAGATCTTTGGGTCTGTATTTGTAAACCAAAAAAAAAAAAAAAAAAAAAAAAAAAAAAAAA